ATCTATTATTAATAGTATTACTGGAAGTAGAAAATAATCCAACATTTTAAAGTACATATTTCAATGTAATGTCATGTGACAAACTGAAGAATCGGTAATGTACACCGACTCTGATGTAAATTTCATGAAACCCAGGAGTCGATGCATGTATCGCCGCACGTTTCAATGTGTGTAGCGGTCTTTAGACACTATTAAACAATTATTACTATATGTGTTTTTGTAAAAACTTTGATAAAAATAAATTTATAGAAATAATAAGAGGAATTTTTAAATAAAAAAAAAACACTAAAATCAAGATATATAAAATTTCACTATTGAAAAATGTAATATACAATTATATAAAAACAATACCAAAATGTAAAAACATTTTATAAAAAACTTACATTTTCATTATTTCATGTTTTACATTAATTCATGCCTATTTCTCTATTCAAATATCTTGTTTAAATAAATGAAATTTATATATATATATATATATAATAAATGAAATAAATGAAATTTATATATATATATATATAATATATATACAGATATATACATATATCTCATAAATATTTTATAGTTACTTGCTATGTAATTTTTCAATACAAACACTGAGTTCTTGAAGACATTCCAACAAATTATCCATATTAGCATTTGAATGTCGAAGACCTGATTGTTCTCCACCAATTCCTTGCCTTTGACCTAACTCAAAATGAAGTTTAGCTAATTGCTCTTGTTGTTCTCTTATTTCAGTCATTTGTTCCATGCTACAATCTTTTCCTATATTTCAATATAATATTACTTCAATTTTATATTTATAGCAGTATATTTAAAAAATATATTTTACATACCAAATGCTCGTAAATTACCACTATGAAAATCTTCTAAGAGTTGTAACAAAGCTTGTTCCATACGCCGTACATCAGGAACCTCTGACAAAAAGCAATGATGTTTGCATGGTGCCGTAGCTTTATTTTACGACACCAAAACACAACCAAAAAATGAAAACTTAAAAATACTTAAAACAGAAGAATATATGAAAAGATTATAATTTATTATTAATGAACAAAAATATAAATCTTTATATTAATAAGCAAAATTTTATTATAATACTTCATATATAATAATTATATACCAAAATACTAAAATACCAATATAAATAATACATAACTGAAAATTAAATTAAAAAAATATCTAAGTATTGCTGGAAATACTTTTAGAATATTTAATTTATTACTATTCTAAATAATACATTTGAGATATTATTATAAAATACAAAGTTACCTCTATGTTGACGATTTATCTTTGATAGTTCTGGTCGATTTGGTCTTTGTTTTTCTTTCTCATTCATGTACATTAAACGTGACTGGTTACCATGATTGGAAGTATTTACAGCACGTCCAGAAACCATAGATCCTTGACTTGTTGCTTGACCAGAACTTCCTTTACTAACAATTGGTGATGTTTGTACATTAGTTTCCCATAATACTTGTTGCTAAAATATTAAACTTCTTTATTATTTTTATTATTTCCTTTAAGAGAAAAATCATTTATTTTGATAAAAAGAATTAAATAACTAATATTAATATTAAATTCATACCGATATATGAGAACTATGTGTATCATTTTTACTTGGATGATGAGATCTTGCTGGTGTTGAAGGTGGTGTAGCTTCTCCACGTTGACTCAATGGCTCTTCACATTCTTCTTCTTGAACTAATTGCTGTAATTCACCACATCCAGACTTTTCAGCCATCCTGAGAAATCCAACTGAATTTCTTTATTTATTTATATACACATGTTAATGAATATTTACATTCAAATAATATTCAATTAAATTTTACAAGGAAAGAAAAGGAAAGAATATTCGAATATTTATACACATATGCAATAAATCTAAGCAAGCTCTTATTTAAATTTAGTATGAATTTCTTGTTCCATTAATATTAAAAAGAATATATTTTAAAATATTGTAATTAATTTTTTAAATTTATAACATTATTAGACATATAATAAACATATGATATTCACAATTACATTATTAATAATTATTGACTCTTGTCTTCAATAATATAGTATTATGAAAGTAGTTTTGTGATTTATAACCTCTAAATCACAAAAGTATGTTTATAAAATATATTATATTTATTATATTTTGTTATAGAATTATAATTTTCTTTCTGTAAAAAATAAAACAAATTTACGAAATTACAGATACTTATTTATATAGTTATATATTTTCAGTTATATTTTGTACATCACGATATATATGTATGTGCAAACAAATTATCTGATTATCTGCAATTTCTAACTGACATTTGTATACCTATATATAATACATATATACATATATGCTTAAATTTTATGTTGATAAGAACCGTAATCAAATATTGTAACTTTTGACAAAATATTTACAGACACATGTTATTGGTTATTTCACGTACGTTATTATTTCACATAAATGAAAACTATAGGTGAAGATTTTCTGGTTACGATTATAACAACATTTAAAAATGTTTCTTTGACTTATTTTTAACTTTTATATTTACAAAATTATTAATATGTAGTACAAAAGAAATTTTAATTAAAATACACGGTTAAGTAAAAAATTTCATGTGGATACAATATCTGTTTAATAAAA